AGTTTCATGTCCGTCTTGTGTCAAGCGTATGTCTGAGAATGACTGCACTAATTCAAAACAAATGGTGCATGGGTAAGTATATGCTGTAAAAACAACAGCTTCTAAAAAATTTAAAACAAATTAGCAGGTAAAATTCGTTATGCCACAAACACATTTTATAGTGCAGAAAACTCTAAATTAATACAATTAATTATAGTACAAGAACTCTCAATTATTGGAGATGCAACTCCATCTAAAGAGGTAAATTAATAAATGCAGTACAAAGTCTGAGATCTGGAATCAATAGTATTTCGGTGGTTTTAGATCAAGAGTTTAAATTCAGTAAGATGACATGTAGACATGGAAATATTGGATCTCAGTCATTGTTTAGGTCAGATAGAAAATTGTTAATTCCCCTCAACATAAGGCCAGAGCAGGTGCAAACATAAAAAGTTTGACCCCCACATGACAAAAACTGGCCAATATCGAAACCGGGAATCATTTCAAGAGCCATAACCAAATTTAACCTGCACACTGCCAAAGCTGACTAAGTGCATCCATTCATAAGCACCAAGGTCCTATCTGCTTTTTTTTTGCTTTTAAAGTATCTTCTGTTGTTTTATTATTTAAATATAGATATAGCAAATTACTTTTAGAAGAAACTTAATTCACACGAGCATAATCAGCATACTGAATAATATTTTTGCTCCCTGTAGCAAATTTGAGATAACTCGAAGCAAGATAAACAATACTCATCCTTTCTGCACCTGTATGCAAAACTCTTCATATTATTTTCCATTAGTCTTATACAAGCCACCAAACAAGAATTTGAGCAGTTCATTTATAGCATTTCCCAAGTGATCAACCTCCCAGTCCCCCCCCCCCAAAAAAAAGATTTTGAGCTCTAAATATTTACTTACAGTTTTGAAAAATAAATGATCCATTTTAGAATGCCAAGTACATTAGCCCTTTCCTTCATGGCCAAACACCTAAACACTGGATGCATTTACTATGGCAATACTTGTACTCAATCATTTAAGTAAGGCAACCAATTATGAGTTATCTTGTAGCTGACAAGGAAACTCAGTTTGCCAACTATGAGTATTCTCATAGATGACAGCAAACGTGTTAAAAATGAAATGTTTGCATTTCTACAAAACCAAAAATACAATATTTCTCAGAAAAATGTTTCTGATGCTAAGGAATTATGCAACAAACATACCTATTCAGATTATTCTGAAAAATATTGAACAATACAATTTATTTTAAAATAGAGATCTTAGTCGTGGAACTTTAAAGTATTCGTGTTTATGGAAAAAAAAAAACTTTAGTATTGGCATGTACTTAATTTTCAATGTTATTAGTATTAATTAAAAGCAAAAAATATATATAATGAATTTTTTGTATGATTACCAGATTTTAACTCTAAAGTAATAAAACTTCCTCAGATTACTAATAAAGATTTTGAAAGTTTGCAAATTACTTGTGTGAAAATTCTTTCAGCATACTAAATGTAGCGAAATTATAAATAAATGCACCAGTAAACTACAAAAGAATACTACTGAATGGCATTTGAAAGGGAAAATTCAACATTTAACTGGTTAATAATTAGAATAAACAACATATTTATTCTAATTATTAACCAGCATTTCAATAAAAATTCAAAATGCAAATCTGGAGATTAAATATCTCTGTTAATTTTTGTTGTATGGGAGTCCAACTTTCTGTGTTTTATTTTTTATAATGACTATAACATTTTTCTAAATATAAGTATAAAGACCGGAGGAATGCAAATAAAGTTAGATTTCATATTGTATGCAAAATTTATTTTTAAAATTTAGAAACACAAAAAAATTAACCTTTGTATCATTTAAAACATTTCTGTAATTTGAAGTATATATCTATGACCAACAGCTACAGAAATAAAGACTAGGTAAGGACTTTTGTGGACAGGGTACATATGTATATGTAAGTGTATATTTAAAAATATTTCAAGTTAATTATTAATGTCAAAAAGCTGCCCGGATATTTCATTGTTTTTTATGATACAAATTCATAAAATTAATGTATGTCCAATATTATTTTAATTATTAACCATATCAATTTAAGTGTAAAAATCAGTATTATGCTTCTTAATATCCTCTAGTTAGAAGTTTAATTATTTTAGAAACCTTCAATGCACAATAATCATTTAATGAAGAAAAAAAATTTACAAAATTTAATTTATCTTATTTTTTTTAAATTGTGACTTTCTCCCACCCTACTGATTATAGTTCTTTCTTCTGATACTAAATGGTCAGATCTTAGAAATGCATCCCGTTAATTTTTCATATGCTACATGAGTTCTTTCTGCTAATTTTCATTCCTATTAATAACCTCATTTGGTGAAGCCAGCTTTAGCATGTAAAATTATTTAAAACTATTTCAGGATTCAAAATTATAGAGACCACAAGCAATAGTTTAAAATAACTAAGAAAGAAAAGAGTTCAGAAATGAAATAATGCATATATTTTCACATTAGCAATATACTGCTATGTAAATGACATTACTAACACAAACTGATTGTAAAAGAGAAAGTTCATTTCTAACAGCTTTTAGAAAGTTAGTTATAGCTGCAATCAATAATCATATTAACCCTTTGGCTACATCTGACATATCAGTACGTCATGCATTTATTTGGGCAAAGACGCACATGACATTCTGATACATCATTCAAACTGAGACGATATTTACCCTTTAGCTACATTTGATGTATCAGTACATCATGCATTTGTTTGGGTAAAGACTTAAATGACATTTTGATACGTCATTGAAACTGAGGTGAGATTTAGCTAGTTCATTCTGGTTTATTTCAAAGTAATGTGTATCTGTTGCAACAGAACAAATAATTTCATTAGTTTGGTGAACCTTGTTTGGGATACACAACCCCATAATCACAGAAATAGAGAATATATTTTATCAAAGTGATAATGACAATTTTAATGAAAGTAGTGATATTGAATCTGATGAAGAATTTTATAATGATCCTTTAAGCAATAAAGAAGAATTTCAAAATGAAAATGATGAAAAATGTATCGGACTAGAAAGTGATAATGATAGTGAAATTATTTGAAGACATAAAAGACACTTAGCAGATGTTTTAAATGAAGATTTTTGGAATATCACAGTAGAAGAGACAAACAGGTATCCGAGGCAAATAATAGAAAAAGAAGGTTTCTGGGGGAAAAAGTGCTTTCTTAATAAATTCTGACAAAATAAAAGTATATACTGCTTTGTGTATCTTGATGTCTCAAGTAAAGAAAGCAAAGTTGGCAACATTAGTCAAAAAAGCATATTATAAGTACTCCAGTTTTTGCAAAAACTATGCCATGTAATAGGTTTTTTTATATTTCACGTTTTTTGCATTTTATGGATAATGAAAAACTAAGTAAAGATGAAAAATAAGGAAGATTAAAATATTGCAGATTACCTGAACAATAGATTCTGTTACCTTTATACTCCAAATAATGAAGTATCTCTTGATGAATCACTAACGAAATTCAAAGGTTGAATAAATTATATTCAATTTATTGCCAGTGAAAGAGCAGGTTTTAGTATAAAGTTTCTAAACTCTAACAATCTTCACTTAACTACTGTACACGATTCACAATCTATGTCCGCCAGAATAAAATAATGTAAAGTGATATACCTGCTTCTGAAAGTGTAGTCATGGAAATGGTACAACCTATTTTAAATAAAGGCTACATCTTGTACTTGGATAATTGGTATTCATCGTCATCACTGTGTCTAAAATTTCTGAAGTATGATATAAATGCCATTGGAACAGTTAAGAAAAACAAGAAGAATACAGAAAAGTTACTTGCTTCACTTAAGATGAATAAAGGAGAAGTAAAAACTGTATCCTGTCACGGTATATAAGCATACAAATGGAAAGATAGACAAGATGTTTACGTACATAGCACACAACACTCAAATGCTGATTTTGTAGACACCAGTAAAAAACAAAAAACAAAAGATGGTGATATCAAGAATATTATAAAATCATCATGTGTTATGGATTACAATAAAGGTACGGGAAGAGTTGATAAACATGATCAACTACTATCGTGCTTCTCTATTATGAGGAAATGTGTAAAGCGATATAAGAAAATGTTCTTTTATCTACTAGATATGGCCATTTATAATGCAGATATTTTGCATTCTAAAATTACCAACACAACTAAAACAGGCTTTGCTTCCTTTTGTTTGAATATTGCTGAAGAATTATTGGCGAAAAACACATTGCCAAATTATAAAACTCGTGCACGCCCTATAAGTGGCAATACACCACAACGTTTGCAAGTGAAAAATTGGATGCACTTCCCCAAATATATTCCAACAATAAATCAAAGGAATGTTCACAGAAAAGGCGCCATGTTTGTTTTCAACACCAAATTAGGAAGGAAACTACCTGGTATGCAAAGTACCACTGCATTTACCAATGTGTTTTGAAAAGTATCACACGCTTCAAAATTATTGATAATTTGCTATTTATTATAACCAGAGTTTATTTGTTTAAAAGTATTTTGTAATATTAACTGCCTAAAGTTATTTCAATATTATGTAAAAGTGGATATATATATGAATAATATGAAATAAATTGATTCTCGCATAAAATCTACTGTTCTTACTTGCCCACAAAATTAAATATCCTCCAAGTGCAAACACATTTTCAAATAAATGTATACCCAAAGGGTTAACTGACGATTCTGACATTTACAGCATTACGAGTTAATATAATTTGAAGAAAGTTTATCAGTTTGCTAACAGTTTACCTATCTGCAAAAAGTATTTCTGCAGATATTCTATGTTTTGGTCGAGACTTTAAAAATATGCACAATTCATGTGTGATAATTACGCTTATGGAGATGCAAGAACTCAGTACAAAAACTTTGAAAACAAAACTTACCTTATTATATGTATAACACATATAACCATCTTATCACATCAGTTACAGAATAAAAGACTTGACCTGAACATACCTGAATCTCAGTCACAAGTCCACTTTGTATGGAGGTAATAGGTAGAGAACTGCCCAATTTCCAAAGCTGTTATCCTTGGCAGATGTTGTCTATGCAAAGCTACTGAAGCAAAGAATGCACAATATGTAACACAATATATCAATTGCCTACTTTTGCAGATAAAAAATGATTCAATTAAAACATATTCATCTCAAAGTGTATAAGAAAAAATTTCTTTTCATAAAGTGTTTCTTATATGTATTTTAAAGAAGACTATGAGAAATAAAATTCAAATATTCTTACAGTTATTAATTATAAAAAATATACCTTAGAATCATCAGAAAACATTATGATAATATTAAAACTTTAAAAATGAAGAAATGTTAACTCTACATGAACTTGCAATAAAGGATTACTGTTTTGCTTAACTGTAATTAACTCAAATAATTTATATATATTGAATGCCTAGCAGGAAAGATAAAATAAGGCAGTGGTTCTTAAAGTTTATCAGGCCAAGGATTCTTTTAAATTAATTTTCACTTTGCCAGGCTCCGTAGTCATTAATCACAATGGTTACTGATATGTTTTCCAAAATGAAAAGCAATTAGGAAATAAAATTTAAGTTAATAAAAATGACTATTAACTCTTGAACACCCAGGTGCCCACAGACCATCGTTCAATGAATCAATGAAATAAAAACTCTTTCAGTCCTAACAAACCATTCTCTTTGACCCATTAATTCCAACTTACCATTACATTCCATTGATATTAATATTATGTTTTTGTTTGTAATTAGAAAATGTAACATATTAATAATAAAATGCTATAATAATATGATATGAAATGGCTGATTTGATATTTTCTTTAAATCAGAAGTAGAGAATATAATATGTGAAAATAAGTAGAGAATTTTAAATATTTTTCTTACCATTGTAGGTTTGGGGGCATATTTATATACAAATTCTAATGATTTATAAATAATTCTATCAGAATCATCATTTGACAATACAAACATTTTCTAGGGATGGCCCATTATGTTATTTAATTATGTTATGCACATTATATTACGTTATTTCTTATAAAATAAAATGATTTATAATAAAGCAAAAAAAGTGATAATAAATTTAATTTCCAAAATCAAAAACATCAAAAACAAAAATTTTATTCTACAACAAACAAATAATTAACAAGATTTTAACTGTGGAAGCAGTTTGCTCAATATAAAAGCCATATAAATAAACACACACACCATGTGTCAAAAAAGTCCACCTGCATAGAAAAGTATTTCAACAATCTTGAATTTAACAAGCAGATGATGGAAAATGTACCTTTAGAATATGCACAGCATACAAGAAACCAGAACCTCATAAAACAATGTTTGGCCGCCCTGCCATTTTTAACTATAACACCGTTAAAATTAGCAAATGGAAATGTCTCATTAAGAAAACCTTACAAGACAATAATCAGTCACCATTTCTAAAGAATCAGTCTAGACCAAGTAATGACAGACTTAATGAAGTACTGACTCAGTCAGATGTTATTAGCGGTTCCAAGAGTACACTTGTAACCATCATACAAAGAGCAGGATGACAAGCTTTCCCCCCCCCTAAAAAAATGGCCAAGTGCTTTATTTAATAGCCATTACCCTTGCACCACTACAGGGGCTGGAAGTGGTGGCCATTTCATTATGGAAGCACCTAATAGGTGGCCACTTTCAGCTTCTAAGAAGGGACAGACAATTACAAATGCCTTCCCTGGGATTTGCGGCCGAGCCCATTGCTACAGCAGTCAGTAGGTGGCCGGATGATAAGCTTAAAGTAACCATTTTGTGAAAACATCTTTTGAAAGGGAGGGCTGCCACAAACAACTTGCTATTTGCCATAAGAACAACTTACCCACATTTTTTTGATATCTTATGAAGCACTGCTATAAGAAGATTGGCAGCGACAAGACGCCATTGTTGACATCTGTTACAACTATCATTAACTCTTATTCACTAACAACAAAATTTAATCTGATGTGCATAGCCAAATCTGTCACATTGTATTACCGTAGATGACATCTATCATATTCAATGCTATCCTTCCGACAGTCACTACCTATAATCAGCAATCACCTTGAGTGATCCTTCTTAACTTTAACAGATCAAGATATCAGCAACAAACTTGTAACCTGCCGTATTGTGCCTACTATAGGACATCTTTTTGCATGAAATTACACAATCACAAACTGCTCCCATTTCCAGAGAAAGCATGTTTAGTGTCACAACCCTCCAACTACATGTCATATTTCCAAACCTTTCCCCAAGTGAGTTAGGATACTGGTTAAGCCTTCTCACAATGTGTATTAACTTGTTCAGCAATTATAAAATACCTAATGGCAATATCACAAATAGTGATTCACATTTTTGTATGAGTAATAGATAATTTCATATAACAGCAACTGGCATGTCAAACCAATTAATCTTACACATTATTAGAGGAACATACATTATATCAGTACATAACTGTTGTGGACATAATGGTGCTACCCAGTTTATAGTTTTCTCTTTGTATCATCATTACCCATATTAAATTTATTCATGACTGAATAATGTTTCTAGGGTTGCAGATTATTTTTGATGTAAAGTATATATAGTTCCTGTCTGATAATTACATATGCTTTACATATTTATTAGATACTTATGTACTTAATGAAATTATTATACTTACTTACTATACTCACCTGTTCTACTGCAGCTTTGTAAAATAACATAAAATATAATGAAACTTTTTTTTAAAAAAAATGAATAAAAATACCTGATTGCTTACTGAAATAAATAAAAAAATTACATAATCCAGTTCAGTTTCAAAATTCTCACATGAAAATAGATATTGCATTAAATGATATAAATTAGACAATCATGATTTTGGAGATCAACTATTTTTGAAAATGTTACGTTTGGTTTTTTAATACACCAAAATTTACCAATATTACAACACTAAAAACTTAATATAACTAATTACAAGATGTAATGCTTACATAATAATCCAGTACACAAAATACTCGAAATATGAGATACAAATATTTTATCTGAATGCAAGATGCTGAGAAACTTATATGATGATAGAAGGTGCTCTAACTACTTTTCCATTAATTATTATAATAACAGATAATAATTATTATAATAACAGATAAAATTATTGGAAAACAGAATATATTTCAGGAAGTATCAGTCTATGTCTTAAAAAGTAATCAGCAACAAAAAATAAAATTTTTCAAGGTCAAAGACCTTTAAATCAAATTCATTACACTCAGCTTCACTTTAAATAGACACAATTTTACATAAAATATCATTTTTTTATTTTTTTAATGTCCATCATGGGAAAAATAAGTAGTTCTAACCAAATTTAGTCAATTTTTTTTAATGTCATAAATTATAAAGCCACAGAGAAATAACACCAATAAATTTCTTTGAAAATTAATATAAATATCAAAAGATGAAATTACAAACAAGTTACTTCAGAACAGTTTCATAAGCTTTGTAAAAAAAAATTACATTCTATTTATTATCATTATTATTTCCACACACAACTCTTATCCCTTTCCTCTATATTTACTACTTACAGCATCCTAGTATATCAGCTTACAGTAGAAAACAACAAGCAATCAATGAAGAAAATGAAATACAGAATTCATGAAAAACGCTAATGTAAGAACTTTAAATGACGCATGTTTGGTTACTTATTATAACTCAAACCTGTTCTATTACATTAATACAACATTTTACATATATATTTATGCAACAATTTTATGTCATTAAATTTTCATTTAAATATTGCTATACAGTAATGATTTTGAGATCAAAATTTAAACTATCTACATGAAATTTGTTACGTACATAATTCATATGTGCTACACTTTCACATGTATGTGACTAGAGAAATTAAATGTATTTAAATGCCCCTCCACATTAAATTACAACATCAAACTGATATTATTTAGTCGAATCAGCATGTCATAAGCACTTAATTTTTTACTTAAAAAAAAGAAAATTTATAGTTAATCAAACATGAGGTATAAATAAATGGGACAGTCTTAAGCACTTATGTGTTATCCCATTAACATGAAGTCGCCAAGTAGCATGATTTAGTGCGAGTTATGGATAAGCCTTACGTCACAACCCACTTAATAACATTTGTGCTATCATTTGATGTACCTTGATCGATTCTCAATAAGTCATCTTTCATTTTATAAAAAAGGATTTAAATTAAATGCACTGCTGTATTTTTTACTTGCACTTTGAAAAAAAAGTTTGAGGGCTGCAAATCACATTATGACTGAACTTCGATTCCTTTACAACTGGTCGAAAGAATTATTATCTGTTGCAAGGGGAAGAAAACAGATGGCTATGGCCAACAAAACAGTAATAGACTGAAACAATCACCTGCAGAAAGTTTGCACTCATAGCATTATAAACAGAGCTTTTAGTAAAATTGTAAAGCTTGACAAAATAATAGAAATCGATGAAAGCCCTTTCCCTGAAAGTGCAAAAGCAAAGCAGTCGAATACTTTTGCTACAGTGGTTAGTTGGTGGATTGTTGAGAGAGAGAGGCTGTTTAAGAGTTGCAGATACAGTGTGGCTCAAAATTCTGCATGAACGGTGATTGCAGTTTTAACGGGATCTCTGTAACTTTCATAATTCAATGGTAGCACACGAGATAAACAGTGAGTACCCAATCTCATTATATTCTACTTAAAAATTTGTGTAGTTTATATTAAATAAAAAACACTTTCCAATTTGAAAATATTTGAGGACACAGGCCTTTCTCTTTCTCCACACATAAAGAAGCACTTAAAATCTTGTCACTTAAAAAAATTCTCTCTCTATGTATGTTATATATATACAGTGTTCTCAAAAGTCCTTACACAGCCTTTATTTTCACAACTTTTGGATATAAACGTATATTTCTTGTTACAAAAATGGGTACTTAAGCAGTTCTCTGTCAATCATGAAAGGTGGATGAAAGGTGGCTTCCTTCAAACCATAAAATTTGGAAGCGATCCCACCAAAGTTGTGCCAGTCATTCCTAAGAAATTCTAAAGGAACTAATCCCTATTTATTTAATAAGCAGTCACTATCT